ATAGGAATTCCTCGAGCCTCAATAGGGATAAAGTTAAGGGTTTGTGGTGCCTGTGGGTCATCTCAATGTCGTTGTGCCCTGCTTCTTGGACCCACCAAGGATCGTAGGCGATATCTTCAGGACAAGCCTCAACGAACAAGCCGTGAACAAGTCGTGAACAAGTCGTGAACGAGTCGTGAACGAGTCGTGAACGAGTCGTGAACGGGTCGTGAACGAGTCGTGAACAATTCAACGTTTTTTCGGCAGGCCTTGCCACACTGCAGCTCTCCAAAGCCATCAAAACCCCCATCCCTGTTCCGAACATCACAGCTGTGAAGCTGTACGTCATTGTGCCGAGTTTCATCCCACAGCGCAGTTCCATGCTCAAATGGAATCTGGCATTCGGCAGCTCAGCTTCAGAACTACCCAGTCTAAAGTCTTCGCCATACAGAAACAAGCTACAACAATGAAGATCCCCATTCATAAATGTCAATCATGTCAAATGCGATTGGAAATCACAGATTATAAAATTCTGACAAAGCTTCGTTGCAAAGGGCCACTGGATTTGCTTTTCCGATGGGCTCGCGATGTGCGAAGTAGTAGAGTCAAGAGTCAAAAGGATTCAACAAAGTCTGTCTCTGGAAGTGCTCAACACCATCCCCCAAAAAATGAGGGAAAACCAAATTTGCGACACTTGCTTTGTCTAACAGAGTGTATTACAAAGGTTAATAGCTCTCAATGGCTCTGAATGGCTCTTTGTGTTTTTTCCTTACAAATTTCGCTTCCAAAGTGCCTCAGCATCATGGGTGCCGTGGATAATGAACACCGGTGACCTCAGAGTCCAAGCCGAAACTCTGGCTGTGTGCTGTGACGTGCTGTGACGTGCTGTGACACTGACACAACTGACGAACCGACGAAACTGCTTCGACAGAAATCGACAGAAACTATTCAATCAAGTTCAATCTATTCAGGCATTGAAATTGAGGATCTGACGTGACCTTTTTGATCCGTGTGGCGTTCTGAAAGACATCAAACCAGTAGGTGGTCTGCAGCACGTCAAACTCTGGTACTTGAGATGATTGTCTCGAAGGCATATGACGTTGCAAAAGGTTCGTTAGGTCACGTTGAATCATGGCTGCATGCCTGTATTTGGTGATTTCTGCAGTGCCAAAAGTTTCAAAGGCTTCTGAATGTTTCCAAGGAATTTGGGCAAAATTGAGAATTCTGATGAATTCTGGCAAACCGGGCGCAGGCACCTTGACATTGTGGATCACACTAAGGCCACTCTTCATGGCACTGGCAGGTGGTGGATCTGCTCCATCAATCTATCAGACCTAAATCTGATCTAAATCACATCTTCATCATATCTCCATCATGTGCTCAACATCGTTTCTAGTTTGACTTCCAAAGGAGCGGACATCAGATAAAATGTCATGCAAACTCTTTGAGAGCCCAGGCTATTGATGTGATTCAAAAAGGTAAGGAAACACTAGGAAACATTAGGAAAGACTTCAAAAATGGCGTTTCAACCCACCGCCCTGCGCCTATGCAAAATAAGACCACCCACAGATACCCGCGAGGCAAGCTCGACCTAAATGTGGAGGATGTGGAGGGCGGACTCGATATGCATCCAGTCTTAGGCGTAGCAAACGCAGCGTCGCCTACATAACCCTGCCTGCACTAAATGCCTACACACTTGTAGTGGCCAGAATGAACTGGATTGAATCTCGTCGGTGCTGGCAACACTTGTTTCAAATTACATGTGCAGAAGTCTGCCTGCATGTCGGAAGGTCAATATCTCAGGATGGAGAAATTGCATCATAAGCAAGCAACATGCAGAAATCTGAACATCAATCCGCCGACCCCTGCCTAGCCTTAGTTTGGGCGGGGCGCGCCTGGGATCACCGCAAGTGTGCAACCTTGCAACTGGCTCCTTTGTCTGTTGCCAACTTTGTCAAGCCAGAGGCCTCGCTGCAGCTTCAAAAGCTCCAAATTGCCAGGTCCTATTTCCACTTCGAATTCTTTGGTTCTACCAGGGCCGACCTGCCCAACTCTGCAGCTGCTCCAACCAGGGCCCAACCTGTCAACCTTGCAAGTTGGCTCAGGTTCTCAACCTTGCAAGTTGGCCCATGTTCTTCTTTTAAAGGTTCCGGACCTGCTGGTTGGCACTTTTGGTTCTACAGGGGCCGACTGCCAAGGCTGAAGTTGCCCCGCGCAAGCCTTCAAGTAGGCTTAGGTCCTTCTCTTTTAAAGGTTCTGGGAAGATTGCCAAGGATGAATGAAGTTGCCCCTACGCAAGGCCTCAAGTAGCCAGGTTCTTCTCTTTTAGAAGTTCCGGACCTTCTGGTTGGCACTTTGCTTGAAGTTGTCCTACGCAAGGCCTCAAGTAGGGCCAGGTTCTTCTCTTTTAAAGGTTCCGGACCTGCTGGTTGGCACTTTTGGTTCTACAGGGGCCAAGGCTGAAGTTGCCCCTACGCAAGGCCTCAAGTAGGCGGGATTTTATCATTTTCTCGCGCACCCTATAAGAAGACACAATCAAATAGCCTCCGGCAATCAAACATAGCAATTTGAAACCGCCTACAAATGTGATTTTTATTGGGAAAACCATCTATGAATAGGAATTGTCCATTGCCATGTTTGATTACCAGAAGGTATCTTTATTCCCACCACATGTTTCTTAAAACCCAATGGTCTTGGGGGCTTGACTAATCCCCAACCAAGTTGGAGGGGATCAAGAAATCCTGCTTTCAGCAATTTTCCTCAAAAGGAACTGAATTCTCGAAGTCAATGGATGGGTTTAGGAGAAAATCCACAGGATACCATGACTTATATTATCAAATATAGGGGTTTCTGTTTTCAACTTTTCCCATCATCCAATTCTGCGAGTTGTACTTCAAACTTTCAACGGGTTGGTTTCTTTACACCATGAATAGGTGTGGGGATTCCAGAAACTCTCCTGCCATCAACCAGTTCGACGAATTCTGTTTTGGTATGCACAACAGCCCTTTCCAAACATGGACCCACACTTTGACTCTCAATCTTGAACATCAATGTAGGTCATTTCCCATAACCGGGTCTGCGCAGTGGGAAACAAATCAACTCAAGTTGTAACTGTGTAGATCATTATTGCCACTTTTGTATAGCCTGCATTTGTTCATTTAAAGTTGCTCTTGTGAACATCACAATTTGACCATAGCATACGATAGCAAAAGGTTATGGACCAAAATCCCTATCCAAGGTTGACCCAGCATTGGGGATCTTCACCCCTAATCCCAAGTTGCATTGTCCAAAATCCAATATTTTACAAAGACCCGTACTTTCCAAAGAGATCTGTAACTTTTTCAGAACTCGGGTCTGACATGGTCTGACCAATTTCTGCAGGTCGTTTGGGTTCTAGGTATTTATATATGCCGCATTCCTTCCTTCCCCCTTGAAAGGGGGTCGGCGGCACCAGAGCGTTAGCCCTTTTTTATATCCAACTTGCAAAGAACATCCACAAAGAGACTGACAGGTATGTGTCACGACTCATAGGCACTATACACACTGAAGCCTCCAAACTCCTATGCCGAGTAGCTGATGGTACGCTGCCAATGGATTGGCCATAGCAAACAATCTGGTGCCAAGTGAGAGCACATTTTGTTACGATAGTCATAAACTGAGCATCCAAATGCAAGATATGCAAGCCTATGCAAGCACACTCCACATATTGTTCCGGATAGCTTCTAAATTCACAAGTCTGACAGCATAGAGAATAACTAGTACATGACTTGGAGTGTACTGTCATACTGAATCATTGCCAATCTGCTTGATCTTTATACTGTCGAATGTCGTGGAAGGTTACTGTGAGATGCCGATTCAAATCGTCCTGAATCGTCCTGGCCATGGTGCAGTGGCCGCGCCGGCGGTGCAGTGGCGCCTGGTCATCTGCTAAGCTGCAATCGTTCGACAGATAGTGATACCTGACAAAAGTCCACGACAAAACTCAAGACTGAACATGACTGAACATCTTTGAAAACATAGTCAAAAGTAGTCAAAAACCTCTGAACTCCACGAATGTGTAACGTCCCACTACCGGGAGGCATGCGGAAGAACTGCGCACTTTAGAAAGCCTTTCTCAATTGCAGGAAAGATAGGAAAGAACACATTAGCATTTGATGAATATGATCAATGACTTCGAATGGGCTGTGTGCACCAGTGTTACCATGGGTTTCGGAACAGAAAAGCAATCATGCTTTAACTAATTTTAACTATCTTTTACTGTGGGAATAGCGGGAACGCCAGCTGGGCTTTGGAACGCTGCTTCGATGTCGGCATAAATGTCCGCCTGTGTGGCATGAACCCATCCAAATGTCACTTCGAAGGAAGTCAAAGAAAACATAGGAAACTAATGGAAACTATCTGTTCCGGAAAATCGATCTTCACCAAAAGGAAAGATTCAACCATGCAGTCCTGTTCAATCCTGAATGCCAAACACACTCAAAAACACCGTAAAAAGGTTTGAATTGAAACTGAGCGAAGCATCTGCAATCTCAAAGGATAAACAATGTACACTTTTCAACGTTGGAATAAACTCTACAGGACGATAACACGTTGGAATTCTGCGAATCAGATCGTCAAGTGGCACTTCTTGACGCAACCCTTCCAAACATCAGATGAATTCTGTGGGTATTTAAGCCCTGAGTCTTTTGTCAAGTCCTACAAGGCCTCAGTGGGAACACCGGTGCTCTCACCATAGCCGCTGTATTCGTATGCCTTGTGAGCACATTCCGATTTTGAGCACTTGAGAATCAAGGCAAGGGGAACTATTGCAAACTATTGCAGCTCACTGGAAGTATCAAAAACAGAAAGCAAAAAAACAGGTTGCAACCAATCTGACCAAAGACCTACCCCGTCTTTTTCTCCGTGTCAACACTGTTGCACATGGCATGTCCAAAACAATACTGTCCTTCCAGGTTTTGGGTATCGATCACCATGATATTTTCCTCTTGCCCCGACGCGCCAATCTATACCCTCCCACCAGTACCTGCAACAAAACCCCAGCAATTTGACTTCTGAGTGTCACACAAACACGTCACAATGCAGCATTGAGCAAAGTTCCCTGGTCAGGAACTGGCTCTACATGAACATGAACTGTGAGCAAGCCAAACACATCAAACACTCGGCATTCTGTGGGAAGGATAGATCATATGATTTCATATGATTCATTTGCCGTGCTTCATGTGGGACAAAAGTCCATCCGTCAAGCTGAGTGTCCAGGATCTATGATCTTGACCTCATGTCTCACACCCAAGTCTGCACAGCAGCTGAACTGGCCACAGGTGGCCACAGGTTTCGTGTTCGGAACTTACATTTTTTGACCGACACCAAACTCAGCTACCGAATGATTAAACCGACAGTTCATCCCCACGATTGGCGTCCAGATGAGAATATAAGGCCGTGAGATCAGTGAGATCACAGCAAACTTGATCAATGCACTCTTTCCAAAATTTATCGGTCAACCCCCTGTCACCGTGCAGCTGCATTCCCTGCATTCCAGCCTAAGATGATGGAACATGATGCCGATATCGGTGCTGTTTCCGTGGCTGAACAAAAGCGTCCTCGCCAATGAGGCTCAATGAGGATCACTGGAAACGCTTTGGCTGAGGTCTTCATATGTCTTGATATCCTGCAATCAAAATAAAAGGAGAAACTCTCAAATTGAGTTCCTACTTAAAATCAAGGCGATCAGAACAGGTTTCGTGTTTTTCCGTTTTTTCCTTTCTGAGTCCAATGTCGCTGTAACTGTATGTCGCTGTGATGAAATTCTGATTGTATCAGTATCCTTCAACAGCTTTAATTTCCCTCACCGAACCCCAATCTGGTCCGGTTGGAGTCAGCGCGCTTGAAATGAAAACCGAGGATCACGTTACCTGCGCTGACACAAATTGACGCTTCCTACATTCATCGAGTGATGCAGGAAGGATGGATGCAAATGACTGCAGATACACAACGATAATGCAGAAGGAAAACATGATGAACCAACGGCAGGCTTATAATGTTGAGCGACGCACAAATTTGCCCCCCAAAAGTTGGTCTTTTGATTCTTTTGGTCGTTAGAGCAAGTCTCTTCAACAAAAAATACATCACCCAGGATTCAGCTGCAAGATACGAACGCAACCAGCAAAGCAAACGAGTCCAAGAGCTGCAACAGCTTAGTCCACACGATGAGTGCAGGTTCTGGGGATTTTCGATCTCTTTCTCTCAAGTCCGTGTGTCGCATATTTGCAAGTACCTTTGGTTCGAGATGACAAAGAAAAGAAAAGATCTATGAAAAGAAAATCCGAGAAACACCCTGCATATCCCCGTCCTCTCCGCGTCCACATGCGCACCGTGTCCACCACAATGCCCTGCCGCAGTCGCTTGAAGGTGCGTGACATCGAGACTCAGCTGAAAGCAGCAAAAAAGGCATAGCAAAAGGATAAAAGAGGATCAAAAATGCAGGCACAGGAAGGCATAGCAAAGGCATAGCAAAGGCATAGCAAAGGCAATGGCTCAGTGTGCCTCAGAAGCCAAGTCGGGCAACGGTGCGAGGCCATAGTCCAATTCCACCAGGAACACCTGCCCAAAAGATCGAGGGAGATCTTTGCCAGGGCACAAACTTTGAAAATCTGATTCCCAAGTTTGGGTCAAGATATGTGAGGTATATTGAAGAAACACTGCAATATCAAAAACAATCAATTTCTGGTTACCACCTACAAGTAGAAACAGTTCTTGAAAAGAGAAGCTTGAGAAAGTTCGTTGGTTCTATATTTTCGGAGCAACACTGTCGAAAGTGCACCACGAGGCTGCTACATTACATTCAAGTTGCTATCACAATATCAGAGTCCCATGTAGTCAAACACAGCTGAAAATCTGGTCCAACGATGCTCAGCATAATCCTTTGCACTACTTTGCACAGTGAAAAAGTAAAGCGCCAAAGCGCTCCACCTGTCTGTCCTCCGTGACGTGGTAGCCAGGCGGTCGCGGTGGGAAAAATGCGACCTACGGCGAAACAAAATTTACCCCAAAGAGCCGAAGAATATCCAAGTCGAGTCCGGCTGCAAAATACTTTTGAGACCTTCTTGTTTGGCAATAAACTGATCTTTACTTAACACAAGTTGTCGTGTTTCCGTGTGGATTCAAACTGCCTCTGAACATGGGAAATTTCATCCCTGAGATCCCACAGTCTCCAAACTTTCAAAACTTACGCCACTGAGTATGATCAATGTTGAAACATGTTGAAACATGTTGAAACTGAATTGATCATCTTTGGATATTGCGACTTTGACCTAGCACCGAGAGTATCATGGCTTTGGATGGCTTTTGACATCTGCCCAGATCTGCCCAGATCTGTGGGTGGAAAAAGCTGGGTGCCCATGCGTTGTTCACCACTCTGCGAAGGAAGCCCGGCACCAAGGACAGGCAGCCCAGGCAGCAAACCTGCGTGGGAGAACTGTGGTGTCTCTTGTGAAACTGATAAATTGTTTCAAATGATACGGTCATGAGAAAACATGGTCTCTACACCCATAAAATCCAATACATATCCCCAAAGCCTTGCTATTTCCATTCTGAGAATCATCTTCGAAATGCATTTTGTTTCATTTTGTCCCTTCCGGTAATTGGCTTTCAGGTGACCCTGAAACTGCGAAACAGTGGCGAACACTTTTGTACCCGCAGGAGAGGGCTGGCACAAAAGTGCCTAACTGTCGACGTTTGCAAGGGACTTTGAGTCGGAGTGTGTCGGAGTGTGCTTTTGGATCTTGAGGTCAACCATCATGGTCAATGGATGAACTTGGTGGTTGACACCGTTGACACGAGGAATTTTCAAGCATAACACATGTGGAAATGGTCGAACTGCCAGTATCAATACTCCATGCAGTGAAAAATGAACTCGAAAACTCCCCGGCTACTAATGGCTACTAGCTACTTAGCAGCTGTGGCGATGCAAGAACTCGTACGCTACCAGGGCCGCTGGTTTCGTGCCAAAATCAGCGGTGGCAAGGAGGAAATCTGCTTCTGATACCAAGGATCTTCTTTCCAGGACTCCTGGGCCACGGTATCTTGGGCTCCGAGTTGCATCCAAATTATCCAATCTAAGACTTAAAGAACCTGCAAATGAAAGTCATTGATGCACAACAAGCACATATTGCATGGAAAGTCACTCAACATCTCGATGGTGCTGAAACACTTGCTTTTACCACATGCAACCAGTATAAGCTTTCTTCCTCACAACAATCATGACACCTGATATTCACTGGAGTGGTGCTGTTCTACGATCAAATGTCACCATGTGTCACACCGTGTCACACTATGCTGTGTACACTGGATACCCTCAACATGGCAGAAACCACATTGCAAAAACCACATGGCAGAAGTCTTTTGAATCGCTTCGCCTCCTTCCAGCCGAGTACACTTCCGGAAAAGTCATCCAAATAGCTGACCTCGATCGCAGAACATTTTATGTGGACCACATGTGGACCACATCTCACTGGCGAGTGCGAAGTGCCGGTGAAGTGCGATGAATTTGTCAAGAGTCAATTGCTTCCCGAGGCAAAGCGTCTTGATCTTTCACCAGCAGCTTCAAACCTGGTGGTACCACAAAGCACACACACACAGGTGGCCTTGCCCTCAACCACTACAAAAAATCGCATTACATTTTCTCTGCCAAAAACCTGAGTACCACTCAATTTTTTTAACGCAGCATTCTTGCCTTCCTTTCTATCATGCTCATACTGTTCTGTATTCTTTTTGTGATATGCCTTTCCAAGCCAATGATCCATAGATGCTATTTGCATGCCATTGAGGCCATTGTAGGGGGAGAAACAATATGAAACAATATGAAACAATATGAAACAATATGAAACATGAGAAAACAATTGTTTTTGAGCAAGAGCTGAGCTGACGCCCTGACCTCCACAAGGCTTATGTTGATCGCCTCAGTGCTAGCCGAATTCGAGCTGCCAAGCAGTGTGTGAAATTGAGATTCTTTGACGAACAATGTCAGATGTACATTAATGAGACGAGTGTGTTACCACGTTATAAACGTCAATTTCTCAACCATTTTTTGAAAAGTTGTAACCATTTTATAAAAACATTGCTTACCATTTTAAAACAAGACCATCCACGAACCCGATGCCCCCGCCACCCCCACCCCCCTTGTTTTTGTTTCGACCTAATACCTACATAGGTACATGCATGAGTATTGAGCACATTTATATGCGCCCTTCAAGGCTCAAGAGGTATATAGAGTAACCCTGTAGACAAGCACGGACCGGCAACAGGCTGAGTAAAACAAGTGCTGTCATTGGGGAAGACGCCTTAGCTGATCTTGAAGTAGACGCTAGGGCCCCTCTTCAAGTGGTAGCGGAGCTGTGATCCCTCATTGAGGGTGAGCTCCAGGTAGAGCCCAAGCAATGGCAAGCCATGGCTATGATGATGATGACTTCGACATTGTCGATGCAAATGAATGGAACCAATATGACTCTTATGCAATGAGAAGAGCACCCCAGCATACACAGATTCATATGACGCAACAGATGACCACAAAGGTTGCTCCAGCCTATGATGGGCGAACCAGCTTCTTTGCTTTTGAGGATGCAATCGATGACTGGTGTGACATTACGGAGTTAGAACCAGAGAAACGTGGTCCAGCATTGCGCAATAGACTGGAAGGAGATGCTCAACAATACAAGAGGCTATTGGATAGAGAATTACTCAGGGATCCCTATGAAGGAGTGGCTTATTTCAAAAGATTTCTACGACCTCATTTCATCAAAGGTGCCCAGAACGTGTTCTTATACCGTTTCATGCAGTTCATGAAGTTCAACAGAGGAACCATGGATCTTCAGAAGTGGATGACTAGATTTCAACTCACTGGCAATAGACTTATTGAGTCTTGGATGGATTTACTTCCAGAAGTAACAGTGACTAGTCCTGAAGCAATCCTGTTTGTTCAGCAACGACGTCAAGAACATGAACGAGATCAACAAGAGAGAGCTGATGTAGCAGCAGCCTCAGGAACACCCTATGTACCTGTTCCTTGGTCAGATGAACTGGCACTAGCGGCATTCAGACAATTTCAGGAAGATCGTAGACAAGTACAGCGACAAGCATTCCCACTGGGTGAAAATTTGCTAGCATTGATTTTTGTAAGTCTAGCTGACCTGAGTCAAGATCAGAGAAACACACTCACAAGTATCATGACACATCGTGGACGAACCCTCGATCGATACAGTATTCAAGAACTACGTGACCTGTTTTTGGAAATGTTTTGCACTACCAAAACAGCAGTTGACAATCCATTGATGCAACCCTCTGGCATGGCACAGAGAAGATCTTTCCTCGTACTGGATGAAGGTGAATTAGAAGGAACCGACGGCTATTGGGCCGAAGATGAAGAAGACGGCGCAGAAGGATTCCTGGATGCTTTAGAAGATGTTTTCTGGGTTTATGATGACGCCAACTTCACATGGTATCAGAGAAGGTTCCAAGGCAAATACATCAGACGAGGCAAAGGTAAAGGAAAGAGAAAAGGAAAAGGAAAAGGCAGAGGAGGACGAAGATTCTTCCGATCAAGGAAAGGAAAAGGCCGAGGAAAAGGAAGAAGGAAAGGCCGTGCTCACATGGTGAGTGAAGAAGATTATGAAGATGAATGGCAAGAAGATGAATGGAATGAAAACTATGACGGCTATTGGGCCGATGATCAAACCTGGAATGAAGGCTATTGGGCCTATGATGATTCATACTACATGGATGAGTATGGATACTTCCAGAGGAAAGGAAAAGGAAAAGGAAAAAAGAAAGGCAAGAAAGGCAAGGATGATGATGGAAAAGGAGGAAAGCCAGGAGATGGAAAAGGCAAGTCGAACTATGTTCAACCTCAGACCACATCAGCTCCTGCCATACAGAATCAACAAACTCAACAAGCTCATTATTCTTCTGCAGCTTCAAGCTCTGGTCATGGTTTCTTTTCATTTGGAACACCTGACCCATTACGTGTTGATGTTGCAGAGACAGAGCCAGCACGTGTTGATGTTTTGACATCCACGTATGCAGCACAAGATGAACAACGACGCACTCGTCGTGGAGGACAGAACCAACGTGATGCAAGAGCACAGCAAAACATAAGGGAAAAGAAGAGATTCCCTGTTCTGGTTGGAGAAGTTGATGCCCTTCGACAAGGTGTACGACAACGTCCAGCTGTGGTGCCCAGGCAAGTTGGTCTTCAAGAAGGTGAGGCTTCATGGAAGCCATTGGCAGAAGGCACATCATTGTTTTCATAGGGATGCTCTACAGAGATAGAGGAACCATCACAGCAGAGTGCTTTTTCATTTCATACTGTACAGACTGATCTGGCATGTGAGAATGGACTAGCTTTTCACACAGAGAATTCTGCACCACCAACTGTGTGTATTCTGGATCTTGGATGCGCAAGAGCTATGGGCTCTCGACGAGCAGTTGAAGCATTTTGCAGATATGTTGACTCACATCCCAACAGTGGACTCTGGTATGAAATTCAGCCAACAAGTTCAAGATTCTTCTTTGCAAACTCACAACAATCAAAATGTACTGAGAAGCTCGTGATATTCATGTATGATCATGGATGGAACACTCAGTTTACAGAATTCGACATTGTCGAAGAAGGTGATGTCCCGTTGTTGATGTCACTTCCACAGATGAGAAACCTTGGATTTCAATTTGAACTTACTCCAGAGAAGGCTTATTTGTCCTGTGCACGTATTGGCATGAGAAAAATGGTTTTGAGGACAGCCATCAGTACTCATCTCATTCTCGACCTACAAGATGTAGCATGGTACATGAGCCAAGTTCATTTCAAGACTCCACAAGTCAAAAGTTTCTATTCACAACACGATCACTTTGAGTACAGTCAGATTGCTGTCAAACAAGATGATCATGAAGGAGAAGCTTTGGTGACTGGTGACTACTGGCAGGTTGATCCACTACGTCGTGAACTCATCAGGCACCACAAGGACAAGAGAATGAACTTACATGAGATGACTCGATCAGAGAAAACTCCAATTCCAAAAGATCAACTTCTAGATGAGAGAGAGACACACATGGAATTCCAGAAGAGCAAAAAGAAGGTTCTTCACAAGGACAACTGGCGCACTGAGAAGAAGAGGTTTTCTGAACAGAGTGAAGAGTTCTGGAAGGGCAAGACCATCTACAAGATCAAGGAGGACTACGTGATCCCAGATGACATTGTCAGAAGTGACATTGATCGTGCAAAGCCCTTTCGTGGAAACATTGATGATCTTTTTCACCCTGAGTCAGCCTCTTCAGTGCCATCAGGTGTACAGAAGAAGAAGCCAAGCTCCTTAAAGAAGGAGGAAGGCAAACCGATTTCAAAAGGACCAGGCTCGAAAAAGATTGAGGTAGGTCCACCTGCAGCCAAAAGACACGTAGGTAAGCAGAAACCTCAAGTTGTCGATGACTCTCAATCAGGTTCATCAAGAAAGAAGGTTGTTGTCTCCTATCCCAAG